AACACCATGATATCAGCCCTATAGGCCATTGTCACAAACACCATGATATCAGCCCTATAGGCCATTGTCACAAACACCATGATATCAGCTATAGGCCATTGTCACAAACACCATGATATTAGCCCTATAGGCCATTGTCACAAACACCATGATATCAGCCCTATAGGCCATTGTCACAAATACCATGATATCAGCCCTATAGGCCATTGTCACAAACACCATGATATCAGCCCTATAGGCCATTGTCACAAACACCATGATGTCAGCCCTATAGGCCATTGTCACAAACACCATGATATCAGCTCTATAGGCCATTGTCACAAACACCATGATATCAGCTCTATAGGCCATTGTCACAAACACCATGATATCAGCCCTATAGGCCATTGTCACAAACACCATGATATCAGCCCTATAGGCCATTGTCACAAATACCATGATATCAGCCCTATAGGCCATTGTCACAAACACCATGATATCAGCCCTATAGGCCATTGTCACAAACACCATGATGTCAGCCCTATAGGCCATTGTCACAAATACCATGATATCAGACTTTTTGGCAGTTATGAATATGGCTGACTAGATAAATTATCACTTTCTGTTTCCACTGTTTTTATTTTTATTTTCTGTATATGCACTGGTGTTGTACACGTAGGTTACTGTCGGCTTTGTACATAGATATGGTGTTAGCAGGTCAAAGTAATGCATGCATGGGTAATGTGTATGCAATATGGTAAGAATTCACATTGTGTTTTAATGTATTTTAACTTACTCTCCTTTCTTCTGTGGCCGTATTTGGCACCAGTTCTTCTCCCCTTTCTGTTACCAGTGAACCAGACTATGAAGTAGAATTTCAACATCTACTGCGTGGTAGTGAGAAACAATTGCACGATAGAAGCATTCCCAAGTACAAAGGCTTAACCAATGACAAAGTGCTTGCAATGATGAGATTAACTAAATTACCAGCCTTCAAAGGATTACCTAACTTTGTGGCATCTGATAATGTAAGTCAATAATAATACAAACATATTTTAACTGTCATTTCATTCCATTTTCAAACAAAAATTATTTCTTTTTTCTCATTACTTTCATTATAATTTATTAATCAAATCAAATCTTTTATAATCAAGTTTCCAATCATATTTTATTTTGCTTGCCATCATAACTTGTTGCTATATTTATTACTAACCATTATATTCTATTTTAATATTTTTTTCACTTTTGTTTTGTGATCACCCATGTATTAGCCTGACCTGACTTTTGGTCTTGTAACCCACCGGGTTAGTGTCAATACACTGTCTGCATGAACCATCTAATGTATCAGTCATTTATTACTTTTCTCACTTTTCACACCTATATATTAACTTTCCTTTAAATAGAAAGTAGTTAAAACAGGTTTCAGGTAATTTCAAAATAGATGCAACTCACTTACATATACTATATATGCTATACTATTGTTGTACCCCTCTCCCATGTATTCCTGACATTACACTATAGACAGCCTTTTCTTGTGGTATTATCAATTCTCTTCAATTCTCTATCAATTCAATGGTGGGAGGTGTAGTTTTTGTCAAATTAACTTTTAACATAATACAGAAACTCTGTCACATAGGCTTTGGCTTCAGGTTTGCATAAACAAAATTCTTGTTTCGCTGCAATGTGGCATCAACATTATTTGAGTTTGCTTCGCTTCGCTTCGCTTCAGTGTTAAAGTTTGATCAAAATAGTATTTTAATGGTTCAGTTTAAAGTATTTTATTCTCTCTGTATTTCTAGAAAACTAGATAAAGTTGATTCTGAACGTTGTTTGATATATTGCTACAAATGAGATTTGAGAACACAACTTGAACTGTGACCTATTATTATGCAATTCGGATAATTGTACTGATTTCTGTTATGATTTAAACATATTATTGTGGCACATTGAAGCCAGAAAGAAAAGACAATGTCTGTCTGGTAAAACATAAGTGTCACGATTGCAGCCTTTGGTTATTATTTGAACTCAATTACATATTTACATGTATGAATATACATCTGTAAAGACATAAATAGTAGACACGAGTCCTAGAAAAATATTACAGATACATAATGTATAAATATTTTTCTGACTTCATAAAAATACATGATACAGCGTTAATAGAAAGTGCAAGCAAAGGAATCATATAATTATATAAATTACTTTAATTTACATTCAAGTCATATTGCTAAAAATCAAATATTTCGTCACGCATTAAGTCTACATCAGTGTTCCCTCTGAGCCTTATTTTCGCTCAATTTTCTCAGATTCAATTGTTTTCTTTTGAGAAACTTTCCATGCATTTTATATGCAGAAAAAACATTTCAAGGGGAAAATGGGCAAATTTTCACAGTATTTTCAAGATTCAAAAAAATTAAAGGGAACAGTGGTCTACATCAAGTCAAAGTTCTGCGGAAAATAAAATAGTGCATTTCAGCCAAATATACGTCAAAGGGTCATACTGCTTGCATATAATTATAACAGCTACAAACAGGACATGCTTAGTGAAGCTTATTTGAAGCTGATGCAATGCTGTGTGGAAATGAAGGCATTGCCACGTTGTAGTGAAGCTTATTTGAAGCTGATGCAATGCTGTGTGGAAATGAAGGCATTGCCACGTTGTAGTGAAGCTGCCCTTTATTTATGTGAAGCTGAAGCAATGCTGCAGAGATAAGAAGGCAAAGCCTTCCCAACAGTTGTACCACATTGCTATGATGTATCAATATTGCCTGCTATTGTCTTTCTTGGAAGGATTGCTTTAGTAGCATTACAATGTCATTGTTTCTTCTTGGGTCAAACAAATCTCATTTTTTGTGGTACAACTCTTTTCAAAATACCCTTCGATGTGATTTAGTTAATTTATAAATATTTTAAAATAACAAGCTCAAAATGGCAGTTGAAAACCATTTGATAGCAACTTGTCATTTTGATGTCACTGATATGGATGAATATGATTTTGATCTACTTTTATATATAGCATTCCCAACCTCATTTGAGTTTAAATCAACATTTATAAACATTTACAAAAAAAATTACATTTAACATGGGTAATCTGAAATGAGAGTATTATCATATATTTAGTGGTGTAAAGCATGTCAGATTGATTAAGATTAACATTTTATAATAACAAGGACTGCATGAATTGGGGATAATCTAACTAAAACTAAATCTTTATATTTATTAGTCGTTTTGGAGCTAAATCTTTTATATATGATTTTCAGGAGTTCTTCAACTGGATAGAGGAGGTATCACCTGAACATGATGTGCCGCATTGCTGGAATGAAACAAAGCCATTCAGTAAGAGATGATATTTCAGTTCAATTTATTTCATCACCATATTCTTCATTTAGGTATTGCTGATTCTTTGTCATCAATAATTTATTGAATGCCATTTTTACTAAGGTTAAGGTATGTGACTAGAAAATGCTCAGACCAGGATTGACGTCGCCATAAAACTTTTTCTTGTGGGTACATTAACACAAATAGTTTGTAACTCTTGTGTGTGGGGATATAAAATAATTGATTACATATTTTTTAAAATCACCAGCCCGATAGTTTTGATATTTTATATGCAGGTATCTTGGAGGGATCACTACCAGATTGATTTAATATATTCCCCTATCAGATTATTTTGTTTATAACGTTGATAACTTTCTCATTTTAGTGAATATTCTTGTTATCTTGAAAACGGCTAGACTGATTGTTTTGGTATTCCTATCTCACTATGCATCTACCGTACTCGATCGAGTTAGCGCCCAAGGGCCTCAACTCAGAAAATCACGATTTTTTAGGGGTGGGCGTTTACCCGAGCACCCTCCTCGAAAAAGAGTGCAAATGAAAAATTTGATTCATCAAGTGACAGATTACGTCTTTGAGGGAAATCAAATTACGAAATTAGTTGAGTCGTCATTGATTTTCACAATGAAGAAACAGAAATGATCACAAAAAATATGCACATTTTATTACAATATTAATTACGTACCACCAGAATTTACGAAATTGGAACACAGTCAAAATTGTCATATTATCTCCACTGACGAAGGTGTTGGGTCGTACGCAAACTCTAGATGAAAATCACTTTCCGCCATGATGCATTTGCAGATTTCACCTGCAGTGGCGTCCTTTGACCTAATGGGTCAAGTTGGTTATTAACCAATCACAATGCTGTGTTGTACTGATGCAATTCTTCGGAAATTCCCGAAGACTGCGGAATGCGGAAGTGAATTATCGATGTCGAAGTATGATCTGTTGGAATTGATTTCAGCGAATAAACGACATAGTTTTTCCAAAAAACTAGTAACTAGCCATTTTTGAGAGGTAAACTGTATATGGCATGAAGTATTTACCGCATTTTACTTGTATTAACAGGTCATTGTCGAAGCGTAGTTTATGCACGGTTTCCGTGTTCTATGCATTCACAACATGTTCCTGATGTTCACAACGGTCGATATCCACGCTGTATCATACAAAAAACGATTACCTAGATTTGTTACGCAAGACCAAGTTTTAAATTAGTTGCATTTTGAAGGGGTGGGCGCTTTGCCGAATGTGACCCCAAATATAAAAATTGCTCCAAAGTTGGAGGTGGGCGCTTGCCCGGGCATGGGCGCTAATGCGGTCGAGTACGGTAAAACAGCTGAGCTATATCAGCTGACAGGCTGCTTGTTTAGGAGCTTTAATAAAATTCCTGTTATATTATTCAATAAAAGACATAAAGATTAATACATTAAATGTAGTATTATTTTAGGAACATGATTTTTTTTTGTATGTAATTATGATGGCTTCATTATTTTTCTTCAGAATTGTTCCAATCAAAATTTGAGCCCGTATTTTCTGTGCAAAATATTTATTATTGCATTGTTTCAGTACTTTTTAGTTCCGATTCAGACAAACTGCGACTCTAGGATTGACTCTGCTCATGGTTGCATGTGTATGTCTGTACTTTTCCAGCCATATCTCACACATGCCTGGATCAATCAAATTCAAACTATTCATTGACATGTACATAAGATATTAGATTAAACCCACTAGCAGCTCACTTTTTCATTGATCCAAGAGCAAGATATACTCCTATCAGTTTGTTTTAGTATTGTTATAGTCATTTCAATGAACCAAATATTGCTGTCATGATTGATCATCTTGAATATTTGGAATGACTACTGTAATCTAACGTACACATGTATGATCCCTTTACAGCTGGTGTTGGTAAAGCTCTGCATCGGTTGTTGGTTATTCAAGCATTCAGACCAGATCGTCTTCTAGCAGCAACCCATATTTTTGTCTCCTCTATTATGGGTGAACAATTCATGCTGGCTGCTGAATCTGAGTTAGACCTGGCAAATATCGTAGAGAATGAAGTCAAGCCTAGTACACCAGTCTTAATGTGTTCTGTTATTGGTTATGATGCAAGTGGACGTTTGGATGATCTTGCTGCGGAACAAGGCAAACAGATCACGTCTATTGCCATTGGTAAGTATACCTTGCTTTGAGCTGTCTATGGTTGAGGTAGTTTACAAGGGTTATGACTTGCTTTGTGCTGTCTATGGTTGAGGTTAGAGCTATCTATGGTTGAGGTAAAGCTGTCCATGGTTGAGGCAGTTTACAAGGGTTATGACTTGCTTTGAGCTATCTATGGTTGAGGTAGAGCCGTCTATGGTTGAGGTAGTTTACAAGAATGTCTAAACAAATTATCAGGTGATAAACATTAATAACTTCATCAATATGACAAATAGCCAAATAAATTTAGATTCATCATTAGAACTACAGCTTACATTTAATTTTCAGAATTGTGCTCGATCAAAGTAATATGTCTTGATATTTTAAGGCTTGCATATTAATCTTATATTACACAAGATTTGTGCATAATGATTAGCTTGATTTGTATAACAACTGATAATTCCTGTTCTCTGCATATTGGGGTTGTGTGAAATGATTGTAAGTTAATCGTTGCTCTTTTCAGGTTCTGCGGAAGGTTTCAGCTTGGCTGATAAATGCATTAACTCAGCATCCAAGTCTGGAAGGTGAGATGTTTCTTCATAGAGTAACAAAAAGCAACTTCTGAAAAGAATAAGATTGCATTGAGAAAATAAATCCTAAATCAGCTTTGTTCTCATGAGTGGTATTTTACATATTACTTTTAGTTTATTTTGTTAGTTAGTTCATTTGGTTCTGGTATTCTATTTGCAGATGGGTTATGTTAAAGAATGTACACTTGGCTCCACAATGGCTGGTCACATTGGAGAAAAAACTGCACACATTAAGCACTCATCCAGGTTTCCGTTTGTTTCTCACAATGGAAATTAATCCAAAGGTAAATCCTATGCCATACTACTTATGTATGAAGTAATAAACATATATTGACTGATAATAGAATATCAGTTGTCGTAAAAATAGTGTGTACTTTTATTTAAGTGATTTACAATTGTCACAAATTAAAGATAATTACACAACCTAATCAAATTTATTTAGCAGTATGTCCCTTCAAGAGAAAAGCACATTAAAGGCACTGTACTATAAATATAAGCAGATTTACATGTTTTCTTAAAAGGATGACATGTGTCAGTGAATAATTGGAATAATTCATTCTTACAGGTACCTGTTAATTTATTACGAGCTGGAAGAATCTTTGTGTTTGAACCACCACCAGGAGTTAAAGCAAATTTATTGAGAACTTTTTCAGCTGTTCCAGCAGCTAGAATGTGCAAGGTAGGTTAATATAGTTTATCAGACGCTATACGCTGTATGCCAGTTTTCTCTAAATCAACATTACCAGTAGTTTATCAGACACTATTTCATGTATTTATCTAAATTAATGAATCTATCATTCTCTTTAGGCTCCTAATGAACGTGCTCGTTTGTATTTCTTATTGGCTTGGTTCCATGCTATTATACAAGAGCGATTACGCTATGTTCCCCTAGGATGGTCTAAAAAGTATGAATTTAATGAATCTGATTTGAGATGTGCTTGTGACACATTAGACGTTTGGATTGATACTGTTGCCAAGGTGAGTTATTAAACAAAACATTATTAATGTAGTTGTCAGTGACTCTTTCAAGTCAGCTGTGTAGCAGTGTGCTTCTACAGCTTTACCAAAAAAAAAACAGTGACTGAAAGGAAGAGCAGTAGAAAAAACATAATTGTGAAATTTGGATATGGTCTTGTATATTAAACTACAATATTTCATTTTATAGGGTCGTAGTAACTTGCCTCCAGACAAGGTACCTTGGGATGCTTTGCGTACATTGTTCTCACAAAGTATTTATGGTGGACGTATTGATAATGATTTTGATCAAAGATTACTGACAACTTTCATAAAGAAACTGTTCACAGCAAAAAGTTATGAAAGTGACTTTGCTTTGGTAGAAGAAGTAGATGGAGTGAAAGGGAGAAATATTCGAATGCCTGATGGAATCAGGTGAGTATCCCACTTCTTGTAATGTGAACTATGTGTGTCGTTATTTGCTAGAGACAAATTTCCAAGTTTTGTATCACAATTCACTTTGATCAATGAAAAATGTATACATAGAACACATAATATTCATAATGATGTGGTGCTCTCAAATTGTAATGTGTGAAACAAAATTACACTTAACATTTGAGAATGAACGTTCTGGTCTTATATAAATACCAATAAATAAGTAAGCAACCTCAAACTATTTTTATTGAGGATGTTTTCATGGTCACTTGTTCATTGACCTCGCTTTCAATTTATTGGGTGAAAATAATTTGTGCGAAGTAATGCTTAAATATTTAGTCTATAGCTTGTATTTCAAATTGACAATGAATAGCCACTTTGAGGTGATGGCCACAAATGTCTTTTCAATATTTCTTTACATTGTTGACATCAGAAAGTTACCAAAATAGATCATTTACAATAAATGTATGTTACAGAAATTTATATTGAACTTGTATATATAAACATTGAAAGCATGTTACTATGGCTACACTTTATGCTTGTATGCAGACGGGAACAGTATCTACAGTTTATAGAGAAATTACCAGAACAGCAGACACCATCCTGGTTAGGTTTACCTAACAATGCAGAGAAAGTTCTTCTTACTAACAGAGGTAGGTGACATGCAGGCAGGCAGGCACACTTTCCTGAACGGTAAAAATATGATGATAGTATGCATCTGATTAGTCTTTGGAAAATACACATTCAGTTTTATTTTTGTCTTAAACAGGTAGTGAAATGATCACTAATCTATTGAAAATGCAGTTATTGGAAGATGATGATGATTTAGCCTATACCTCATCCTCTCATGAAGAAAAACCAACAAGTCCCACTGGTGATGGAAGACCAGCATGGATGAGATCATTGCAAGAAACTGCATTCAATTGGTTATCTCTCATACCAAAGGTATACTATACTGCATTATTATAGTTTTGATACAAGAGAAGATTTATGTCAAATGAACTACTTAGTTTTCCTCCCAACCCATATTCCACCAGTTAACCATTTCACCCCACTCCCAACCCAGATTCCACCAGTTAACCATTTCACCCCACTCCCAACCCAGATTCCACCAGTTAACCATTTCACCCCACTCCCAACCCAGATTCCACCAGTTAACCATGTCACCCCACTCCCAACCCAGATTCCACCAGTTAACCATTTCACCCCACTCCCAACCCAGATTCCACCAGTTAACCATTTCACCCCACTCCCAACCCAGATTCCACCAGTTAACCAGTTCACCCCACTCCCAACCCAGATTCCACCAGTTAACCAGTTCACCCCACTCCCAACCCAGATTCCACCAGTTAACCATTTCACCTCACTCCCAACCCAGATTCCACCAGTTAACCATTTCACCCCACTCCCAACCCAGATTCCACCAGTTAACCATTTCACCCCACTCCCAACCCAGATTCCACCAGTTAACCATTTCACCCACTCCCAACCCAGATTCCACCAGTTAACCATTTCACCCCACTCCCAACCCAGATTCCACCAGTTAACCATTTCACCCCACTCCCAACCCAGATTCCACCAGTTAACCATTTCACCCCACTCCCAACCCAGATTCCACCAGTTAATCCATTTCACCCCACTCCCAACCCAGATTCCACCAGTTAACCATTTCACCCCA